GAATGTGCCAATGATGGAGATAATGGATAATAACTTTTGTGAGATCACTACTACTATAGTCTATTGCATGAGTATTACTATTCTCTCGTCTATTTTATTACTAGATCTCTCTCTCTCTCTCTCTCTCACACACACACACACACACACACACACAAACACACAGAATATAAGAATATATATATATAAGAATATGTTTTTATGGACAGCTTAATCCCACAAGACTTTTAACGATTGATTTAGAAAAATATACTTTTGTATTAGGCACTCATTCTCTTAGTGTTTAATATGTAAATATTTATATTTTGATTGATATAATTCACGTTAGACTCATATATTTATGACATAAAGTGTAAGGAATTATTTTGAATTTATTTATTTTCGTAAAGATTTATCGATTGAGAAAACGATTGAATATAAAATGAATTTATGATTGGACTGTGATTTTCAATTCATAAAAATGTTCAGATATTCTGAATTATTGAAATTAATGTCAAAAATACTTATATTCACATATTTTAAGTGCACAAATATTTATCGATTTTATTTCTCGAAATAGTTTTAAATAAAAAGCAATGCAAACGTTATTTCAATATTTCATTTCATATTTCAATAGAGAAAATCGTAACAAAAGCTAACTTTAGATCTACAATAGAAAGTCAACACAATATACAGATCACACACTTGACTGTAATTTACACTCAATTTTTTGAGTGAGACTTCAGACGTAATTTTATTGTGTTATAAATAAGTTGTTAAATAAATGAATCAATTTCTTGAATAAAATACCAATGAAAAAGTTATAAGTAATTGCAGTATTTGTTTTCATACAAAATATATCTATTTTAATCGACACTATATTATTGCACCAAATAAATAAGAGTTTATAACAAAAGTTACAAATTGTTAGTCAATCAATAATTTTGCAATTTTAGTTAACAAAGAATTAAGTTAATATTTAATAGCATTATAAGCAACAGTTTGACTCCTTTATAATATTTTGCATAAAAATCGTGACTTATTTGTCGCACATTTTGTTTATGTTTTTAACACACTTTGAAAGTGAAATTTATCATAAAATTCAATAAACTTCGTAAGAATTGCAAATAAACGCACACAAAAAGTCTACAAAACATTGTGAGACAAAAATATGAAAAATTTAATTAATAGAAAAATTAATGACAAACACTATATAAATCTTTATGACATTCACTGACAGTTTGCAGATTTAAAAAGAAATATTAGATTTACTTTACTTTTAAAGCAAAAAAGTTTTCCATACATTGAATTCTGTATTAAAAATTCTGTATTGAATTCTGTGTGTATGCGTTAATATACTTTCATGCTTATTTAACGAATATAAAAATGGATAAAAAATAATAAAATATCCATTAGAGTTGAAGATAATATTATTTTATTCGTAATATTATAAATAAATATCTTAGCAGTCATTTGTCTGTCAAAAGAAAACCTGCCAAAAAACTAATAAAAAACTATTTTGAAATATAATATAAAATATTCGCAGAAATACGGCGATTAAATTGAATATACAGTACAGTATAGTCGCCATTGACTACTATTTAAATAATTTCTGATCTCAATTCGTACCGAAATTTAATATTATATGAAATTAGCTTTTTTTCTATAACATAAAACACTTTTCTAATCTCGTATTTAAAATTCAATTTTCAGCCGTGAATTAAATTTTGTTTGAAGTCAAGAATCCGATACAAAACATGAAACTATGTTTGACTGACACTTTCGCTGACCATGACTTCGACGCCAATCGCAACCATACATCCCATCAAATGGATTCACATTAAAAACACGACTATTTTTAAATTAATTATGTTTTTATCGATTTTTATCTCTAAATTAAAGTAAGTGCTTTGAATGATATACTTGTTAATTATGTAATGAATATAACTTGTATTCATTAATAACTTATTTAATTGTTCCATCAATTAATACCCCGATTCATTAGATGTGAAGTACTTCACGGAAAGATATTAGATATGAATAAAGTATTTCCAGAGGATTACGATATGCTTATGCCTCCCAAAGAAAATGGTTTGTTATTTATTTTATTGTATAATATTAACTACCGTATACTTTAACATAAAACATACCAATATCTCACTCCCGGATGTTATAGCAAACTAATATCATTAATATTTTGTCATTTTGTAACTCATTTGACTTATCGATCAAAATAACTTATTATGTTTTAATATAAATTTCAAAAGAGTTTAACAAAAAGGATAAGTCATTAAGACATTTATACGACATATTCTACATTAATAAGCTTTAGAATATTTTATTTTTTAAACAATAAGGATTAACTCAATATTGAATGAATATTGAATGAAAGGGACCAAACTATCGGTGCGAATCAATTAGCTTTGATGTCTCCGTCAGATTAGTAACAGACATAATAGCCTTTACTAATGACTTTCAGTTATAATTGAATAACTGAACGGATATTATACCCGTTTGGAGAGTAATTAAAACGGTATAATTTATAAGTTATAAAACACTATCTAAAATTTAATTAAAATTTGATATAAAAAAATTCCCGAATTGATTGAGCACAATAGTTTTTATTTGTTTTATCTTTAATTACTGTATTAAGATAATCATATGATATATTATATAAAGCTTTGTAAAAATAAAAGTATTGTGAAAAATATTAATAAATTCAAATATTTTACGTTTGAATAATATTATAATTATATCAAACATAAGTTAGGATTAAATTATTTATTTTTCTTATTTTAGTTATATTATTTGATTTAAGTAATTAAATATTTACCTAATACCTATTTTCAATAATTACATTTGGTTTGATTAATTATCATTAATATCATTCAATTAACAAACATTTTTCTATAATACAAAGAATACAATATATTTATTAGGTATCGAATTAATTACCAACAAGTATATTCAACATTAATAGAAATAATATATATTATTCTTATTAATAGCTATTGATATCATAAACATTATAAACATATCATTATCATTGCGATCATAAACAATAATAAACAAAAAACACATTAAAAATGATAACCCGATAAATTAGTTTTATCTATCCGTTCCCTTTCAGAGACAAACAAAACGTGTAATCATTTATTAATAAACATACCAAACAATAGACGAAAAAATAATTACAAGAAATACAATAAAGAATTTTACTAATTTTACTAATTTTATTTTTCTTAACATATTTAATTATATAATATAATGTGACTTTGAAGTATAAACATAAAATATGGCAAATAACTATCATAGGAATCCAAATTATTTATAAAATTTGAAATTATCAACCTTTTTTATAATAAGTGAGTTTTACAAATTTATTATAGGAACTCAATATTCAATGTATAAAAATGAATCAAATATTCATAAAATAATGTATAATGAGATAGAAAATATATACTGAATTTGAATACAAAGAAGTTTATATTTAAATATACTTTTAAATTGAGTATCGAAAGTGTCTCGATATTAATATTAATGCCAAAAACTATTGGAGAAAATTGGAAGAGATTTAAATAAATATCTAAAACACAAGTATATCTGAGACATCAATATCAGGTCTCAAAATTGCTTGATAATAATACAGTAAAAGTAATAAATAAAACAAAACTACAAAATTAGTCGTGAATTGAAAGTTATTTACGCAAAACAAAACCTATTGAATATTATTTTCTATACAAATTGTGCCTCATTTTGATACCCATTATATAAACCAAATCAATAAATACTACTTTTCACTCCTACTCTCAATAAACTAACGAAGCATAAAATAACTGTAAATACTGTAGTAGGTGTAGGAGCCGATGGTGGTTGACGTCTGTCGATTCAATCAAAAATATGAAACATAAGAATAAAATAAATTATTTTTTCTCGGAATTTGATTCCGATTTTGAAATAATATTTTATTTGCGAAACACTTTATATAAAAATAGTCGGAAAATTATTTTTCAAGAAAACAAATTAAGACTTAAAACCCAATTAATATTTATAACTAAACATTATGACACAACCAATGAGTTTCTTAAGTATAAAATTTGTTTTATAATATCTAAAATGTCAATTCAATATATTTCAAATGTTTATTTATATAAATATATAAAATAAGATATTTTTACAGAATTAAATCAACTTTTAGGCACTCCTGAGACTATAATCTCTTAGAGAATTTCCAAAATTAAAATGTCTTAAAAAATTGAAAACTAATAGAAATTTTGTCCATTAATCGTATGGTATTAAATGTCGTTGGAGGACATGGATGTACACGTGTATGACTTTTTAAAAATATTATTTATAATAAACACTTAACAAAATTATTCAGTTTATTATAAAACGTGACTTAGAAATTATAAATAATCAAATATGCCTTTATCTCTCTTAAATACTTTAGTTTATTATATATTTGCGTTAAATTACCATTAATTTGCATTATATTTACTTTGAATACACATCAATGCAAGTCTCCTAAGAAATATTATTTACTATAGTCTTGCATTCAATTTACACTTTAATTTATTTATAAGGCGCCGAAAACTAAGTTTGGAGTAAACTTTGATAAAAATCGATAAAATTAAATATTTTTATTGACTTTTAAAAGTCAAAAGTTTGTGTATCAAAAGAAAAAACAACATTTTATTATAAATGTTAAAAGCAAATTCACATAAATATGTTCACGGAATCAAACATAAATATAAATTAAAATTAAAGACACAAACCTCTGAACCATAAGTTTGGCTACACTTTGACATTGATTTATATAAACCACGTTTGATATATTACTTATACTAACTAGTATATCATCAAAAAACTTACTGCCTATCATTCAATACATACACACAAAAATTGAATCTACTTTTTTACTATAAAGAAAAAATACATTAAAAATAATATCGTCGACAGGAAAGGCAACGAAAGTCAGATTCCATGTATGGGTTCTGGGCTTGGATTCAATAGACGAGGGATCAATGGTATGGATATATAGCATATATATAGCGTTTGTATATAAATATCTATATAAAAATATATTTGGCCATTAATTAAACGCAATCCATGGTCTCAATGGTACGGCACATACCACTCAGACATATGTGGCCGACATATTCATGTCTCAGAGCTGGAAAGACCATCGCTTGAAGATACCCGACGACACAGCCTTTTACATGAACTCAACCAAATCATCTCAATATAGACTTTTGCCCATCGGTTGGATCAAAAAGATGTGGAGACCCGACTCCTTCTTCAAAGTGAGCCACTCTTATATACACTATATATATATACAGTATATATACAGTATATGACCAGTGTAAATTATAATCATCGCAATATTTAGCGTATTAAATGCACTGAACATACATTTTATATGTGATATGATAAAAAAATTAATCAAATATTTTGCGTGTGTTTTCGATATTGACTGATCATTGCCTATGGAATCCGCGATAGAATGCAAAACAAGTCATTTTTCAAGAGATGACAATTCCTAATCACTATATCTGGTGAGTAGTCGATGCCATACCAGTCCCATGCAATTCCCCGCCGCTATTCATACCACAATCCTATCAATATAAACGCCTTTTATATCTTGTCATTCAGTTTGTGTTTCAATCAAATTATGAATATTACTATTAATTCATGTATTCATCCAATCATTCAATTCTTTTTCATTGTATTTGCATTTCAATTATTATATGAATCTCACTATTATTTAGGTTATACCCGGATAAAACCATTCTCTATATGGTTAAGTAAGTATCAATTGATTTGATTTGATTAATACATTACTTATAAAAACTATGTCTAATTCATCAAAAATGTTTTCAACTAAAAAAATGTAACAATAATTCTTACGATTAATAAGAAATTCTAGGAATTCGTTGCACAGAATATGTTTATAAAAAAGGGAGAACTAAATGTATAACCGGATTACAAATTCCTATTAAAACACTAGGAAATTAAAATAAAAATTAATTTGCAAATGAATATTACATTTATTTATAATTAGAAATAAGTTTAATTTTCCTTTTTATAATGGAATTTCATTTGAAATTAGTTTAGAGAAAGCTAAAAAAGTAATTTAGATATTTTTATTATACATCAAAAGCTCTCTCTCTCTCTCTCTCTCTCTCTCTCTCTATTTAATATGTGTTTTAGAAAGTAAGCAATAAATCATAAAACTATATAAAGAATATAAGAATATGGAAGTATAGGAATGCATAGAAATCTCGGTGGAAATATGTTTCACTTTTGTCACAAAATATTACATTTTCAGAGATAAGATCTTTTAAGAAGAATGAAAATCTTTACCTGAATTTAGTCTCCATATAATTGATGACTTTTAAATGCAATTGTTTTTAAATATCATTCTTAAATAGATTAAAAAATCTTTTTCATAAATTTTGTCATAACAAAGAATGTTATTTTTAAATTTATAAATAATAAGTATATTTAGATTAACATTAAGCGCAGCGAAAGACATTAAAATACATACAATTCTTTCGAAAACAAAGAATTTCAATAATTTATAAATAAAAATTCTGAATTAAATAAT